TTTTAACTGGGCTAATTTTCCTGCCACTTTTAGGGGGGCCCGAGCCCCAATATCCCCGACCATGCTTAGACGCTTCTGTGGTTGCCAACCTATCACTCTCCCTGATGTCATGACTACCACATGGGTTACCATCCCCCATCTCTACTGAGACAACAGGCCGCAAGACTTTGCTAGCGCTTTTACCCACCAGCACTGGTAATCTGCTCCCAGGCTCTTTTCAAGTAATCCTGGTTTCATCCCCATCCCCCATCAAACCTAGTTTAAAGCCCTTTCAATGTGCCCTGCTAATTCTTGCCCCAGTATTATTCTTCCCCTTTGGGTAATGCTTGCCCTACCTGTTGCCAGCAGGCCTGGTGTCCTGTAAATCATCCCATGATCAAAGAAACCAAAGTCCTGCCAGTTACTCCAGCCTCAGAGCCAGGAGTTAATCTGCTGGCTCTTCCTGTTTATCCCCTCATCAATTCCTGCAAGTGGTGGATAGAGGAGAACACAACTTGTCCTCCTGATCCCTTAACCAGCTATCCAAGGGTCATAAAGTCTCTCCTCATTGCCCTTGTGCTACTGGTAGGTACCTCTTCACTGCCTACTTGAAATACTAGTAACGGATAGTAATCCGAGGGCCGGACCAGGGTAAGGAGATTTTTCTGTATATCCTTAATCCTGGCCCCAGGGAGGCAGCAGACTTCTCTGTGGGATGGATCCGGTCTGCAAATGGGGCTTTCTGTTCCCTGCAGAAGTGAATCACCCACCACAATCACCTTCCTTTTTTTCTTTGTTGAGGAAGTCCTAAGGCATTGCTCTGGGCAACTGGCTGCATTGATCTTCTTCTCTATCCTCATTTACCTGGCCCTCAATTTCCAAAGCCCCATAGTTATTTTGCAAGTGCAACTGGGAAGGTGAGGGGGGCTGGGAGAGGTTTTGCTTGCCCCTCTGAGGAGGGACCTGCCTCCATTCCCTGTTTTTTCCTTAAGTCTCTTTCTTGTGCTTGGTGAGAGGTGGAAAGGAGATGATCTACTTCCTGTAGAGGCTCTTCCTGATGCCTATGCCTCAGGGTTTGGCTCCACCAATCTATTTCACTTTCACTGTCTCTGATGCTTCTAAATCTACCTCTTCCTTCAGTTCAACTACCTGCGTGAGCAGGTAGTTTATTTGATCACACCACACAGAGGCAGTGTCTCTGGCTCCTTTGGGAAGAAGTGCCAGGCTTAGGCATTCACTGCAGCCGGAGACCTGCGCAGCCACGTGTTTCATGGGAGCTCAGTCTGAGTTCCCACATTCTTCTTTGCGATGCATTTTGCAGGTGCTGGGGCCATGTTCTTGTCTGGCACTGGGAGGGGACCCGCTACTGATGACTGCTTCCCGCACGCTCTGCACACGTGCGCCTGCGCACTGATATTCCTGCCCTTGTGCTCTGCCTTCCCCCATCCACGTCTCTTGGCTCCCTCAAGAAATTCCCGACTCGTTTCGGGTGTCTCCGCTCTCACTTGGCTTGTCCATCTCCGGGATGACCCCTCACTGTCTCAATGTAGTTCAAATTTAAATCCGCAGTATTCACAGCTGCTGCTGTTGCTCTCCACATGGTTATATTATGTTCTTTCTTTAAAAATCCAAGAAATTTCTGAAAGAGAAATAGGGAGAGAAGAGTCATGTATTCTCCAAAAGTAGCAAAATATTTTACACTTAGAAAAATTAATTAGAAATTGCTGTCAAAAAATAAATCGCACTTGAATTAAATGTTAAAAATTCCTAAATTTTTCACAGGTTACTTGGAAAACTCTGGATTTTGAATTATATCCTCACTTGAGTGTGGTTATTTCAGGATAACAACATTTTATCTATAACTGAATTTAAGTATCAGTGAGTAAACAACCTTTTATTGATAAGTCGTGCAACCTTTGAACAAGGAAATAAAAAGTAATGGGAGTAAGGTGATAATACACATTGTTAGAATTCTTAGTGGAATTTGTTTTGGTAATCTTCATCGTAAATATAGTGGAGCTTGTTCTCTATGCTGATTTATTAGAAGCATTTTAAAGTCTAAGTGCAAAAAGGCAATTGAAGGCAGAGTTTTAATCCCTTCAGGTTGTTTTCTGACCCTTTGAAAGAAAGGTACACTAACATTGTCCAGTACTGAGTAATCATCTAGTAGTTGTTACTGCCTGGTAGTTTCCATGTTTTCTTTAAATAAGGGGTTTTATAAAAGGAGCTTGAAAATACAATAGACTATTTAGTTAATAATAATTTATATCAGTGATTTTTAAATGAGTGATGTCAATAGAGTAAAGCATTTTCATAGGATAATGGCCTCCTGCTTGTTCTCTAAAATTGTGATGATTGCAGACTACAGAGGTCTTATGAAATTTAAAGAAATACAGGATGAAGAAGCCTTAAAAGATTGACAATTGTTGAAGAAAGGCCCTACAAAAGTGCAAACTGGTTAAGCATTTAAATGTTGCTGAATAATGCAACAATGAATAATTGTGTGAGTTTGCAAACTTGGAGAATAAATCACTTTTTACTTAAAATAAAACCGAATTACCTTCAGGAGGTAGAGTTTTCTGTTCTCTCCAAAGTATGATTAATTTGCTAGCAATACAACATAATGAACTATCTTATTGATATTTTATTTTTATATACATAGAATAATCCTTAGTATAAAAAATAGCACTTTTTATCTAAACCTCTCAAATTGCATGAGGAAGTTTAATTGAAACTCCCAAGACAATTTTAAGGAGCAGGAAAGTTTGTGGACAAAAAGAATTTGTGACTTTTCTAGATCAATATTTCAGCCCACAACAGAACTAGGATTATGCTTGAAGTTTATTAACCTACAATTTCTTGATTTAAAGCACTTGGAGGTTTTCTATGTAAGGTTTAGAGTGGTGTTACAATGGATTGACCTTCTGAAGGGAAGGTAATAAGATCTAAGCTTTTACACCCAATTTCAATCCTATGTAACTCTTTGTTTTTGATGGGTTAAAACTCAGCAAAATATCCTAGCATAATTGTCCCCCCAACAGATTCAAAATAATAAAGTGGTAAAAAGGTGTTGTGAGTTGCAGAATAATGTAGACTCTTGTAGACAAACTTACAAAGTATATTTGGTTTAAGAGGCAACTTCTGCTATGATACTCCTGTTAGTGGTCATATTCTGCTGCTTTCATAAGGAAAGGGAAAGGAAGAGACAGAAATGACAAAATACAAAAAAAAAAGTGTCCTGGGAAAATGTATTTGGAGAGATAAGAGTAAATTCAACTCTTAAAATAGGAGCTTTTTTGGGTTTGTGTTTTTTTCTTACACACCATCCCCACCCCTCCCCGGAAACATAATGGGAGTATTGCACGATGATTTCTGTAGTGACAGAACAGACTGTTCAACAACTCAAGAGACCTGAGACTGAGTGCATTGTTGTGGTGGAAAATCTGAGGTCTTTAACTAGAACATATTGAAAAGGTCCTGCTGGAACCATGTGATTTTCACTTTTAAATGTCCAGCTCAAAAGTTTGTTAGAAACTTGATACACATTGTTATACTCAGGTTCTTTTTTTGATGATGTCCAAAATACTTTGGAAAAAAATCTGCCACTCTTTGAGCCATTAACCAAAATAAAATTAAAAAACAACAACAACAACAACAAAAAACAAACCCCCTCCCAAAACAAACACACAAAATTCTATAAAAACCAAAACACAAAACTAATTTATCTAATGCATACACTATGGAAAAATTGTTAGAACAATGCAAGCACTGAATAGATAATCTGTTAATGGGATGTTTTGAATAATCTTTAAATTACAGAGACTTACTTGCTTCCTCCAAAGCATGTAGACTACCACTATAGCATTCATCTTCTTCTTTTATATGTTAATTACCTTTAGCATAAAACTAAAATCAATTTAATATTAGATTTATGCATATTTTTTCTATGCATCCTTCGTTTCTATTATTCAAACAGACATGTTTTTACTTTGTGTATTTTCTAATATTTACTTTCCAGATTTTAAATTTTGAGCATTAATCTTCATTAATGTTGTACTCGAAAGAGAAAAATAGACAAAAAGTTGGAAACTAATTTGCTGCAGGAAAATCAATTTTAGATTGTTCTTATTAAGTTAATGTGTAACCTCAAGCCTTATTAATGAAATAAGCATGGTTACAGCATTGATAAATTTAACAAATCTTAGCAATTACAAAGAAATGCATCCAGGTCCATGAAATGAATGTTAATTCAATAATAAATCATTTATATCTGATGCTCATAAAGGAGATTTGCTATACTAATCTGTTTTCTTCCTCTGCTTATATAGAAGAAATTCCATTTTCGCATCCCCAGACTTACTAACATTCACTCCAGCCAGATTCTCTATTAGTTTTACTGCTATGTACTTTCATCAGCTGTCACAAAGCATTCTGATCCCTTTCAAACATGAAATGTATATCCTCTATTATTATTTTGATTATTTTGATTTCCTACTCTTAAAATCAAAATCTTAGAATGCAGTCTGATTTTTTTTTTCAATATCTTCTGAGCATTTAAAGCAGTTTGTTTGCTGAAGGAGCTATTTATGTTCAAATAAACTTCTCAAGTCATAGTATGAATTGCTCTGGTGTACAGTTTGAACCTCTTTTATCCATATATCCCTGGAGTTTATCGGACTCCATGGAAATTCACAAATTCTCAGTTCCAGTAGAGAGCTTAACATTATTTTTTCCTCACAACACTGTTGTAGGGTAGGGAGAAGAAGACTGAATGCACTTGAAAGCTCAGGCTTTTATTGGGCTGGTTTTCTGACCAAAAATTTCCTTTTTTTCCAAAATATATTAGTCAAGGTTTAAGCCAATTGATTTTCATCACATATTTTTTTCATCATATGATTTTCATCACATATCTAAGTTAATTATTAGAAGTATTGAACTATCATTTCCTCATTTTTCTTAGTATTTAATATCTACTATTTATTGTCAGTGGTGATAGAAAGCTTTTGTTTTGTGTCTCTCAGATCTCAGGATAGAGAATCTTTGATTGAGTTCCAAACCTGCAAGCTCAGGGTGAGTAGTTATTTTTGCTATTTCTTTAGCTTACATTTTGTTGGTTCTGTGCATAACTGTATTCCAGCATAGGACTGTGTTTCCTGGAACATGAAAAAAAACATTTCTTCCCCCTCTGTGATAATGTCAGTTGGTAATATCAATAATTAATTAATCTCTTTTGTTTCAAGAGATTGTGAAGAAAAAGGGTTTTGTTTTCCTAATTGTTTAACCAGAAAGTGAATATGTTCATGGTTTGGGGGATTTTTGGTGGGTTCTTGTTTGTTTGTTTGTTTTAGCGTGGCTTGACTGAAGAGACCTTGACATAACTGTACTTCAATGCTACATGTGCAATTTGACCATCTTGCATTTTGGAATTAATGTTAACATAGTCATCAAACACAGGGTCTGACACAATTTCAAAGTGAGAGAGATAACATGAACCAAAGAGGCAATGATCTGTAAAAATGAAACAGGTTCTCCGGACATGCACTGCATTTTTTTACATTAAATCCCTTGTGAGAAGCCATCTTTTTGGAGTGAATAAGGGCCAAGCATCAGTAGACAGTAAAACTATCATGTTATGGGTTTTATCAGAATTATTTCCTACTAACAGAAGTGTAATTTGGCAATTTTGGGGAATGTGATACAAGACAGCTGTTATAATGAAAAATAGAATCACTGGAAACTTGTGGTTGTTATACTTCAATTTTTGTCTTTTCCATATACTAAGTTTTTTTTGGGAAATGCTACGTGTAATGTGAAGTCATTTGAAGGAAGTATGTTGATGTTTATCATGTTGCTGAAATAATTGAATATGTAATGTAGTAAAGCTATTTAAACTAACAAGCTTAAAGAGGTTACCAAAGTATTCTCCTGTGTTTTAAGCTTGTGTCATAATATTAAATATAATAAAGTTGAGTGCTTGTTTTATAACAAGGGACAATATGATTAGCATGCAATTGAGATCAAATTCATGAGGAAACCTCATTTGTACAACACAAATAGCTGTCATACTCTGCACACATGGGCAGAAAACACTGCTCCTAAACAGTGAAAATCTAAGCCCAGGAGAACAGATCTGTCAGCTTTGTTTTGTGATTCCACTCATGGTGTGAAGGTAGTTTAAAAAACACCATGGCAGAAATGATGATGCATTTTACGATATTTTGTAGTAAGTTACAAGCTTGGAGCTTTAAAGCGTATTTCTCTTTCAGAAGCTTCTTGTGAAAGCCTGAAAATTAGAATTTTGTCATATAATTTTAAAATACATAAATATTTTTTCTTAATATTTGGACAGATCTGGCGAGCTGTGTTTCCATCCTGTTTCCATTGATTTTCCATGAGATTCTTTCTTGCTCTTTAGCTCATAGTCATTGAGGAGTGGAGCTGGTTAATTGTTATCCCACATGCTACATGCACAATTGTAGAATCTTCCCTGCAGCAGGTGATTTAGAGGTGTCTATTGTAAGTCTGTAAAATGCTTTTAAATTCCAAATCCCTCAAATCTATTAATTTTTTTTTTTTTTTTAGATATCACAGTGTTTACAGGAACACAGGGCTTATTCAAGTTCCTGTAAAGGTCCTGTACTCCTAAAAATTCTGTAGTAGTAAGCAATCTAGTATTTTCAAAACACCTAACTGTATAAATATTTGCCTCATTAAGTCTGCTAATATCTGGTGTTTGAGGAAATGCTAAAATTGTTTAGTAACAATACACTGAAGTGATTGTTACAGAATTCTCATTAAAATACTGGTATATTACTTAATATAATATTTTATTATGTTTTGAACAACTGATGCTATATAAAATACACGCAAGCATATATGTGTGTACACATCTGTGTATGATGTACAATAAATGATGTCTTCTCGTTTGAGGAACCAGGGTTTCAACATGTTAAAACACATGCTTATGAATATAAGAGGCAACTGAGATAGCTGCATGGAATAATTGATAAATACAATGAAATTATGGCAAAGGTGGGTTTTTTTTGTGAATTACAAAACAAACAAACAAACATATCAAACAATAACACAACAGAAGTCAACAACTTCCATGCGAAAATCAAGCAAAAAAGGAGCTCTAAGAATTTGTTTAAATTGGACCACTTATGTTTAGCATACATGGACCAATTAAAAGACATAGATGATAGGGTTTTAGAATCATAGAATGGTTTGGGTTGGAAGCGACCTTAAAGATCATCTAGTTCGAACTCCACTGCCAGGGCCAGGGACACTTTCTTCTTGACCAGGTTTCTCAAAGCCCCGTCCAACCTGTCCTTGAATACTTCTAGGGATGGGGCATCCACAACTTCTCTGGGAAACCTGGGTCAGTGTCTCAAAGCCCTCACAGTAAAGAATTTCTTACTCAGATCTAATCTAAATCTCCCTCTTTCAGTTTAAAACCGTTAGCCCTCATCCTATCACTACAATCTGTGATAAAGAGTCCCTCCCCATCTCTCCTGTAACCCTCCTTCAGGTACTGGGCTGAAAGGGTATTTATATAGGGTAAATACTGGAAGGGTATTTAAGGTCTCCCTGGAGCCTTCTCTTCTCCAGGCTGAAAAACCCCAACTGTCTCCACCTGTCCTCATAGCATAGGTGCTCGAGCCTTCTGAACATATTCGTGGCCCTCTGCTGAACCCATTTCAACAGGTCTGTGTCCTTCCTGTGCCGAGGACTCCAGAGCTGGACACTGTACTCCCGGTGGGGTCTTGACGCACAGAAACAAACCTTACAACTTGAGGGGAGTTATAAAGCAGGTGTTTGGGGCCAGGGCCTTAGACTCTATTACCTCCTCTGTAGTGGTTACCATGTATCTGAGTGAGTACACTGCCTCAATTGTTTGTCGGCAATCATGTGACACTGATTCTCCTGCAGTTCCACTGACGAAAGAGGCTGGGTTGACAATCTTAGTAACTACTATTACCACATCATCCTGTTCCATCCAGACAGCCTAGTATTTAAGAAACCGTTGAGGTGAGAGCCAATGCCCTCCCTTTACCGCCAGTACTGCCGATACAGTATGTGACACCATCACTGTAATTTTCTGGCCTAGTGTGAACTTGCGGGCTTCTTGAATGTTTAGTGCTGTCACTGCTCTTAAGCAGCTAGGCCATCCTTTACTTATTTTATCAAGTTGTTTAGAGAAATGTGCCACTGGCCTTCAGTATGGTCCTATATTTTGGGCTAGGACCCCCAGAACCACCCCTTGTTTTTCATAAGAAAATAACCAGAAAGGTTTAGTAATGTCTGGTAGCCCCAGGGCAGGGGCTTCCATCAGTCTCTTTTTTAGCTGATGGAATGCTCCATCCACTTCCTTATTCCAGATGACATCCTTTGAGTTAGATTTCAGTAACTCATAAAGTTTTCATATCCCAGATATGTCACTTGCTGCTGTGTTACTTGGGCTTTCTGTAGAGAGACTTGCTAACCATTAAGTCCAAGAAAATTCAGTAGACTAATTGTCCATTCTATACACATTTCCTTCATTTTGGTAGCTAGAAATATGTCATCTACATACTGCAATATTACTCCTGCTCTCTGTGGGCACTCCCATTTTTCCAGATCTTTGGCTAGCTGGTTCCCAAAAGTGTAGGGCTATTCTTAAAACCTTGTGGTAGCACAGTCCATGTTAGCTGTGTTTTTCTCCCAGATTCTGGGTTCTCCTGTTCAAATGCAAATAAGAGTTGACTTTCTGGGCTCAAGGGTAGGCAGAAGAAAGCATCCTTTAGGTCCAGGACAGTAAACCATGCCAATTCAGGCATTAATTTAGTTAACAGAGTATATGGATTTGCTACAACTGGATGTAAATCTTCAACAATTTTGCTGATAGCTCTAAGATCCTGTACTATCCGATAGCTACCATCTGGCTTCTTAACAGGCAATATTGGAGTGTTATATTCCGATTCACATTCCTTTAGTAACCCATACTTGATAAATTGGTCAATGGTTGGTCGGATTCCCTTTCTGTCTTCTATTCTGAGAGGGTATTGTTTGACCCTTACATGTTGTGTTCCTTGTTTAAGTTTAATCACTACTTGAGGGGACATTTTTCACTCTTCCTGGTACTCCAGAAGCTCATACTCCTGGGTATACTTGATCCTTAATTTCCTCAGGTACTCCCAGACCAACTGGAGGACCTATCAGGGCCAAATTTAACATTTCAATTAATTGGTTATCCCGTAGCCGAAGTTCTATTTTCCCCTTCTCAAACTTTAATTGTTCTAATAAATCCCACCCTAGCAAGGGTTTTGGTAAGCTAGGCATGTATAGGAATTTGGGTATCCCCAATTGCTTTCCTTACTTTCTTTATTAAGAAAAACTTCCCAGTTGAATTGACAACAGTAAAATCTGACCCACGGTGAGTTATATAAGGGGGTGGTAGTTCCACAGTGAATACACCAAAATTCTAAACTGTTACTTAGATAATGCTCTTGCCTTCGTCCAGGTGAGATGATATACTTAAAACATTTAAAACACTTGGCTTTCAGAAATAAACAACACTGTTTACAAAATGGATAGGCGCTACTACCAGCCCCTCTCTGGGGATTCAAAGGGATATGAGCTCTAACAGATCCTCCCATACATTAGTACCTTATTGATTCTTTACAGTGTTCAAATTTCCACAAATTACTCGTTTCAGTTCTCCTGACCATTCAGTCTTTTCCCACTCTGACCAGTTCCCACATTGGGGACACTAGAAATCGTCCCCACAGTCCACCCAAACTTCCTCGTCACAAGCAAAACACTTAACAAAAATAGGATTACAAGATACACTGTTGTTCCTGTGTATAGGACGACACCAATCAACACCTAGATTAAACAACTCTTCCTTATGATCTGTCATGCACTTCGTTCGTCTCTGGCCACTCTCCTCACAGAGAACACGGAACTGCAGACTGGAACTCCACACTTGCTTTGCAGCAACGCTGCATCTCGGTCACTCATATCACTCACGCAACAGTTTGTTATGGCAAACAATACAAATCAGAGGAAAAAACATGGTATCGGTTTCT